TTGTAACAGTTCATTGTTGGAGCTGAGCTGAATGAGAGAGATATGCAGAGAGAGAGAGAGAGAGATGCAGAGCAGGGAACGCGAAGAACAGTATTAAGACCCGCTGCTTTAGGACATTGATTTTGAATCTTGTGAATCCATTAGAATCGTTAGAAGACGATCGCGATTCATATATGAATAGATTTTTACGTGCACCTCTAGTTTTCTCTTCCTCTTCTCTAAAGCAGCGCAGCATGGCCTAGCCCCCTTTGCTGCCTTTTCCCGAGGGTGGGGTTTATCTGGGTTTGTGATGTCACAAACCCGGGAAGTAACTCGTTGTAGTCCCTATCAGCCGTTAGGCATTAAACTGTCAGAATTTTAAAAGACGATCTCTCCATTTGCATTGAACTTTCAGCTTCGTAACTTTGCAGATATTGTTTATGCTCAAGCAGCAACATTACACACTAACTAACGTTAAAAAAGTGAAATCGCAATGAACCACCCCTTTAAATGAAATATGTTTATTTATAATCATTTATTTCATCTTGTCCACCGTCTTTGCTGGACTGTTGTATTTTTTACTGACATTTACTTGAGGACTTATTTAATGGTCTATTTGGCACATTGCTTTATTGCTTCTATTCATCATGGGGTTTGTTTTTCCAAACACTGCATAAATCAATTTGGTAAGGATCTCTTTTGTGGTGCAGACATGGTGGCCAACTACATTATCACGCAAAACATCCATTCTGTGTGCCGTCTAATTGCCGAAGGCAAAGTTAAAGTCTGTCAAAGATGTGGTTCACAGGCTTTCCCGTGGGCTTTCTGTATCAACAAACTCCACATTCCCATTACTGATGAGATTTGGGCCTGAGCTCCAGTGAGTTGGTTATGAAACCACTCTAAAGAGACACTAAAACAACACAACGCCATTCATGTGCCAAGTCAGCACATACCACACGCTCACAACAGTCTAGTATGCATGATGCAACTGAAGAAATGTGTGAGTTTTTAATGAGAGAGGGTGGAAAAAGGTCTTCCTCAAAGCGTTCCCAAGTTTCAGTCAGAAAAAAGGAGCAGAAAAAGGGTGCCTGGAGATATGGTAACAAATTAATTCTAGTGTTTTGCTTTTTTTTGTGTCAGAGAGAAAGGCAATATATGATTCTTTTTTAAATGCCCATCTCACTTTCCTCATTCTCTTAGTGCTAATAAAGTAGTAATGCAGTCAATTTTTCCAAATCAGCCAAGCAATACAGACATTTCTGTTGCTGTGGATTTATCATTTGTACAGATCCAGAGCTTCTTTGGAATAGTGGCTGTCTGATCTTAGTCTGTCTGAATTTCAGCAGGTGTGTTAGATGTCATTTGACATTTCAGAACAAAAAGCTGTAAAGGAAAGCTCCTTATTGATGGTAATTAATATAGATCTCAATTGTCCCCTCATTCACATTCGTTTTATTGTAGAGTTGGCCTGTCCAATATGCCGATATTGTTCGAGTGACACCACAGTGCTGAATCGAAGAGGTCTGTTTTATGGGTGACGTTCAAACACTAGCACTAGTTTTAAATTTCTCCTAGACACTGATAAAGCTGACTCGGCTCACAATAAAAGCGCCATACAAGCTGTCAGCTCCGGCAGGGAGAGCCGTGATTGGAGCGTGCGGTCCAAGCTGTAGTTTATGAGCAACGGGATGAGAATATTGATCAATACTTCTGCAAGACTTGCTTTGCACATGGCACTTTTTCTCCCATCAGTCAATCACGGGCTTTTTTCAAAATGCTTTCCTTCTCTCACTCTACTCTCTGCCTTATTTCTGCTCATATTGCACATAACACACACACAGGCTCAGTGCTATAGGTTTGTTTCATACAATTCGATGATATACAGTGATTCTTTCTGATACTGGATTACTAATATTGGATATTTAAGTGTACATGCACATTTCCCCTAGTTTAGATTACATTTTAATGTTGTGGTGCCTGAATTCACTTGTAGCATATTTTCATTTTTAATGTTTTGTTTTTAATTAATTTAGACAAAATAGTTTAATCAAATTTTAATACCTGCCTTTTATTTGTTAGCGGCCATAACATTATCAGTAGATAAAATAATTATTAATAATAATTAGCACTAAATCGATGATGTCATGTAAGACAGTTTGTAGTAGGATGAAACAATGGCGCTAATAGAAACAATGTTATTTTGGACAGTCTAGGCATATTGTGAATAGAATAAAAAAAGAAAAAGAAAATTAACTAATAGATATCACCATACTGCCCCAGCTGATTGATTATATTAAGAATTGCAAACTTTTTTTTTTTTCTGTTACCATGTTGGCATGTCATTCATTTGACAGCACTAAATCTGGAAGGAGCAGGTGGTCAGGGAAGAGTTTGGGTTCGGCCCAGCTTGGTCCTGACTGGAGTCTGAACTGATGTTCTTTCCAAGTCAGTATGTCGTGGCTAAAGCGCCCAAGCTAATTAACATGACAGTCTCATATGCAGGAAGACCATGTGGCAAAATTCCCAGATTATCTTCATCCATTCCAATCTTTACTGTATGAGTGAAGAAATGTCTGTTGCTATATTGCTGTTCATATGAAGAAAAATGAAGACGTAATTTGAACATTGCAAACTATATTAGTATTTTCAGTGCTGATTTTATGGCAAAATCTGCAGAATTCTGTGGCATATTGTTATATTGACCTTAAACCAAACTCAAACTTGAGTCACCTGAAGGCAGTGAGTTAAATGAATCTGAGAGTACTCTTATAGGTAGAAAACATAAACAAATTAGCAAAAATATTTCCTAAATAAGCATAAAATGGTGGGCGATGTGTAGATGTGTAAGCATTGATTCTGAAATGTGCTAAACATTCTATGCAGTTCTGCACACAGACACACTCATGGGACTGCTTCTCAGCATGAAAGAAACATGTTTACGTGAGCTGTGTACATTTACTATCTAATGTATGTTTCACAGTATGCTGTGCTACAGTATGCCCTAATATTACTCATTTTTAGACAACTTCAAACTGTCTCAGTTCAGACTTATCATACTGATTTAGTGACCATTTCACTGTGCTTTTAAAAGGTTTCAGACCCTGTTCATTTGGTCCCGCTATTGCTATGGTAACAGTTAATGTGTTCCAAAGTGTCTTCTCTCCCCGTTATGCTGGCCTCATCAACACAAGAGAGGTGTTAAGGCCTAATTGGTTTGGCACCTCAAGTGGGGCTGATTTCAAAGGCAGAAAAACCTTTTCCCTCATTAATAGGATCTGTCATTGCATAAAAGAAAGGAAGGAAGGAAGGGTGGAAATCATGTTAATCACTCTCCATTTGTGTTATTTTTTTGAAAAACAATATCCTTACGGTATGTACTCATTATTCACAATGGCGATACCATGGTACAGTCATGTTATCAAATGGTAATACTATGGTACAATTCCAGAAAACCGTGGTAATACTTTCAGGACTTTTTTATGTGTCATCTGCCCTAACGAACATCTTTTGATGTGTAAAAACTCAAAGTAGTTTGCAAAGACGTGTAAACGTCCATTATAATCTTTGTAATAACTTGAGTTCTCACTCTGAGATGAGGTTTCAGGTGCCTGGAAGAGTAAAACATCGTTGAAACTATCTGCAAATTATGCATTGTGCCTCTCTGTCTCTGTCAGGAGCTGTGGAGGTGAGAAAAGAAGGACTTGAGGCACAGATCAGTCGACTGGCTGAGCTGATTGGACGTCTGGAGAATAAGGTAAGAGGTTCGTCTCATAATACTGAGAGGTCAAGTGCTTCCTCCTGGGAAGAGTCTTATAATAGCAAGAGGTCAAAATCCACAGACCCGTGCAGATGCAATCTAGTGTATTAAGACACTGAAAATAAAAACATGGTTGATAACAAATGGAAAGATATAGCTTAGTTTCTGGCTTTACGGCAACTGATAACATAATAATACATAGATTTCAAGGGTGTTTTGTATGAGCAGGTATTTCATATTTATTTGTTTCAAATAAAAATTAAATATCATAGAAGTAACACTGTACAAAAGTGTATATGTTTTAGAGGGTGGCAGGTGTTGACTGTGAGGGCTGTTATGATGTTATACTGGTCTGTAAATTGGCTTTGCTTGTTACTGCATTATTGTAGTTATTATTTTTGAAAAATGCATAAACCTGATGAGACTTTGATTGGATTAAATAGTATGTCATTATAAACCAATATTATAGTAGTGGTTGTTTGATGACAGTCTCAAGTATATACTACCATTCAAAAGTTTAGAGTAAGTTAATAAATGCTGTTCTTTTGAATTTTCTATTCATCAAGAAATCCTTAAAAATGGTATCATGGTTATCACAAAAATATTAAGCAGCAGAAGTGTGGACACCGATAGTCCAGCCTGGTCTCATTGTTTATACGTAGGTATTAATACGTAACATGTACAAGCACAAAACATAAATTTTTGTACGTTTTCATTGATGCTAAAACTTACAATTTAGACGTATTTCAAGGTTTAAAACGTATAAATCGCTATGTATTTTTAGCTAAAAAATGTACAATATTTACGTAACATTTATATAATTAAGATATTCGTATTAGTGTATTTTATCAATAAGCGATTTAGATTTTTATACAAGCACAAAACATAAATTTTTGTACGTTTTCATTGATGCTAAAACTTACAATTTAGACGTATTTTGTGCTTGTACACGTAAGGTTTAAAACGTATAAATCGCTACGTATTTTTAGCTAAAAAACGTACAATATTTACGTAACATTTATATAATTAAGATATTCGTATTAGTGTATTTTATCAATAAGCGATTTAGATTTTTAGACTCCTTAACCTACCCCCAAACCTAAACCTATACCATTTTTAGTGAATATGCATTTTTATCATTTTATTAATACGTGATTTAGATTTTTAGACCCCTTAACCTACCGCCAAACCTTAACCTACCCATTTTATAGCAAATATAAAATGCAAATGACCGAAATATGCAGGAAAATAAAAATTTTAGTAACAATATAGCATTAAAAATATTTTATAGTCGCTAATCCCACACCTACCTATAAGCCTAAACATGACTATTTCTGTACAGTATAAGAAAAACATGACAGACAGATAAATGCAATTGCAATCATTTATTTATTGCACAAATGTCAAAAGCAGTATCAAAAGTAATCCAAATGACGACGAGTAAACAATTTAATAATGCAATTGAAAACAGGTCATTGATATGACAACTAAAAACAACAATACTAATAAAATTAATGACGCGATTTTAATATTAATAAGGATTAATTTTTAGGTGTAGTCAAAACGTCAGTTTTGTATGTTTAAATGCTGAAAATATGTCAGTATTGTACGTTTTAGTGCCTGTAAAAACGTAAGTAAATGTACGTTTTATAGAACCACATTTTACATAAAATACATACAAATTATCATGAGATCACGTTGGATAGTTATGTGACACTGAAGACTTGAATAATAGATGCTGAAAATTCTGCTTTGCCGTCACCGGAATAAATTATGTTTATAATTATAATATATATAAATAGAAAACAATTATTAGATAAATGCAATTGCAATCATTTATTTATTGCACAAATGTCAAAAGCAGTATCAAAAGTAATCCAAATGATGACGAGTAAACAATTTAATAATGCAATTGAAAACAGGTCATTGATATGACAACTAAAAACAACAATACTAATAAAATTAATGCCGCGATTTTAATATTAATAAGGATTAATTTTTAGGTGTCAGTTTTGTATGTTTAAATGCTGAAAATACGACAGTATTGTATGTTTTAGTGCCTGTAAAAACATAAGTAAATGTACGTTTTATAGAACCACATTTTACATAAAATACATACAAATTATCATGAGATCACGTTGGATAGTTATGTGACACTGAAGACTTGAATAATAGATGCTGAAAATTCTGCTTTGCCGTCACCGGAATAAATTATGTTTATAATTATAATATATATAAATAGAAAACAATTATTTTAAATTGAAATAATGTTTCCCAATATTACTATTATTTACTGTATTTTTTATCAAATAAATGCTGCTTTGGTGAGTCTTCTTTTGAAAAAAAAAAAAAAACTTACCAACCACAAATTTTGGAACAGTGGTATAAGGGTGACCTGTAAATATCAAATAGAGTTGGGACATCAATTTTTATTAGTCTAAAAACTTGGTTTCCTCATTTCAGAAACCCATAAGAGGATTAGGAAGTAAAGGCCATGACACACCAAAATGACAGCAAAGAAAGCTAACTGTGTTGTTGTCTCACATCGCGTAAACACATTGCGATGACTACAGCCAATGGCCAACTAACACCTACATTCTGTGGCTGTGTGAGGAAATAACTGTTTCTATCTGTAAAATTAGAACAGCATTCATTTGATTGATCAGATTGATCTGTCCGCTTGTTGACCATCAGCTTGGTGTGTCACGGCCTTAAGACTTTGTTGTGGAAAGAGCTTTTCTGTTCCTCTTCCTATACCTAAAATAGTATAAGGGTGACCTGTAAATATCAAATAGAGTTGGGACATCAATTTTTATTAGTCTAAAAACTTGGTTTCCTCATTTCAGAAATCCATAAGAGGATTAGGAAGTAAAGGCCATGACACACCAAAATGACAGCAAAGAAAGCTAACTGTGTTGTTGTCTCACATCGCGTAAACACATTGCGATGACTACAGCCAATGGCCAACTAACACCTACATTCTGTGGCTGTGTGAGGAAATAACTGTTTCTATCTGTAAAATTAGAACAGCATTCATTTGATTGATCAGATTGATCTGTCCGCTTGTTGACCATCAGCTTGGTGTGTCACGGCCTTAAGACTTTGTTGTGGAAAGAGCTTTTCTGTTCCTCTTCCTATACCTAAAATACAGCTCTGTCATTTCTTTTACTGCTACACATATAGTACATCCACATATGCACACACATGCACACACTGATAATTACACACATTCATATGTAAAGCCCTGAGAGGAGATTCAAATTGCATTTAGCAAAGCCTGTAATCTTTTCTTCCTATAGTTATTACTTTCACTGATCAGGAGAGCAGTGAAGGAGGGCAGGAATGATACGGTGAAACAAAGAAAGAAATTAAACAGACCTGTCAACCACAGTACTGCACTAGTAGATGACTGTTTTTACCATTATATTCTCTACACTCAACATTTATGTAACTTTTCTTTCTTGGTTAACCATTATTTCAACATCTCTCTCTTCCTCTTGGTCATTTTATTATGTGTGTCTGATAGACATTTGAGCACAGTGGACTAATAGAGTCCCCAGTTAAAACTGGAGTTTTTGGCAGACCGGTTCTTATAGCTGGAGCTAAGAATAGCCAAACCAACCCAACTGGTTTATTCCTCTCTCAGTGGAAGGGAGGTTCTGACACATCCTGGTGAGATGGGATGAAAGAGAGCATTTCTGGGTTGAGCAGCAGAGGCTTCTGTGGCACTGGATGATGTTTTGGTTTCGGTCCAGAGACAGATTAACAAGGATACATGCATATACAATCAATTCTGTAATGCAGGAAGAGAACAATTTTGAAGAGCTTAATTTTAAATTAATTCGCTTAAAAATTGTAATTTTGTGAAATGCACTACCGTTCAAAAGTTAAGTACGATTTTTTTGAAAATTGTTTATTCGACAAGGAGGCTATAAATTGATCAGAAGTGACAGTAAAAAACATTTATAATGTTACAAAAGATTTCTATTTCAAATAAATGCTGTTCTCTTGAACTTTCTATTCATCGAAGAATCCTGAAAAAATTTATCAGAGTTTCCACAAAATTATTAAGCAGCACAACTGTTTTCAACATGAATAATAATAAGAAATGTTTCTTGATCAGTAAATCAGCATATTAGAATGATTTCTGAAGGATCAAGTGACACTGACGACCAGAGTAATGACATCACATTTGACATCAGTAATTTGCCATCACAGGAATAATTAAAAATATATTAAAATAGAAAACCGTTATTTTACATTGTAATAATATATCACATTGTTACAGTTTTTACTGTATTTTTGGTTAAATAAATGCAGCCTTGGTGAGCATAAGAGATGTCTTTTAAAAACATTTTAAAAAATCATATCAACCCCAAACTTCTGAACAATAGTGTATATAATAGTTACTGCATAGTTACTGTTTAACAATTCAAAATGTTTTTGATCTTTTACTGACTTGGTTCTCTTTCATATTTATTATGAATTACTATTCTTTATTTATTATTAATTTATTATTCTCTTTCAATAGTAATATTAACTCATTCTGAGTTTGAATTTAGTTTGAATAGAAATAATGGAGAGGGTTTTGATCGTTGGCTTGCCTTCAAAGTTCTCAAATCAGTGACAATTTTTTCCAGTTGCCTTGTCGAACTCTGTTCTTCTGCTCAGTCCACTGTGAGATCTGCTATTGTTGATCAATACAACCAGACCTGCAGCACAGCTGGGTCTGTGCAGGACTTAAAAGCACAATATGTAAGATTTTTTTATTAAAATATCCAAAAACCACTAGAACGGTGTTATATATTTTGCTGACTTGTGTACTTACACTATCCCAAATGTTTTGAAGAATGTTTAAATCCAGAGAAATAAGCAATTTTAACTAGTGACACGGACCGTGTCCATAGTGTCATTGTGTCTCCTGCCAATGATGTCAAAACCCCTCGATTTCCGGTTTTGTTTTGTAGAAAATATGAAAACACCAAAGACGCTTTAATATGTTATGCGTTTTAATATACCGGTGACAACCGCACAGAGTAGCATAATAACAGAACTTTCAAATGTATCTAGTATGATAAAACAGCGCTGCTTTTTTCCCCCACATACGCACGACCGGAAGGAGCGGAAGCAAAAGACTGTGGCATAATAAAAGCTCCGCTGCTTTCGAGCCGTGTGTCGTGCTCGTTCAGCGGCCTCGTTTCGCTTCGACGGCTTTCAGCCTCACCCTGCTTCATTCTACTACGTTAATAGATCATTAGCTCATCCATGAACATGATTTCTGCCCGAGTCCCGTCGGATTGCTTCGGCTGTGGGGATGAAGACCACAACTCCCATGATTTCACACTCAGTTACGGCGTCATCAAACTAGGCCTATGTTTCTTTGTTTATTTAAAATTTTTGAATTTTGAAAATTACATATTGTGTCTTTAACACATGCTTTTCTAAACGTCCATACTCAGTGCGTTCAGTTTAATTGAAATGTCAAACATAGCACTGTATGTCTGTCCTGTCCTGTTCCCCATTCTCGCTGTCGTTTTAGCAGACAGGGCAGCCTGACTTTGGTGACCCACTTTGGCTCACAGCTGGATCAGTCATCAGAATGCTCTTGTTGTCTGCATAATGCGCCCCCACAGCTTTAGGAAACACATCATTTCCTTTTCCATCCGGTTGTGGCACCCTGATAGCCTCCAATCACTGTGGAGACTAACGCTCAAGCCGTTCCTGCAGTATTCATACTCGACAGTGGGGCGGTTGTCTTTCTTGCTATTATTTTTGATGGATAACCCGCCATCACTTTTCACAGTGAGAGAGACAGCTGCACGAATTTGTGGCATCATTACCGGCCATTATGTACTCTGTCATTCCATGATAGGAAAGAATATTCCACACTATCCCTGTTCACTTATGGATGGACTGATAGGCGATACCAGCACCTCTCTTTTTATGAGGCACATAATGATTCATACATTGTGATGGTGTTAACTTTTCAGAGTCAGGGATGCTGTAAATTCCTCATGAATTCATAAAGTATTGGAATATAGTGAGAATATTTGAAACATATACTGTTCTTGTTCTCAGCATTTTTTATTATCTGCATACATCATTGCATCCCAGTGACAGTGCTTGTAGCCTCTACATGAAGGAAGGGAAATAATACTTGCAGGCTTTCTTTCACTGCTCAGATTCTTCATACTTGAAAAATTGTCCTGCAACTTTACCCTTCATTATATGTTAAAAGAGCAACATTTCAAGTTTGAAATGAATCAGAGTTGAGAATAAACTAGTATGTCCTTAACCCAAATGTACCATTTCATGTGAAATTCTCTGTATTTAATCAAAATCATGACATTTTTATCACTTTCTACTTATATAAACACCTGCCACAGACTCTTGTGTTTCATTATTCAAAATACAAATATACATATGTTTTTTTTAAAGAAAATGATGTACCTCTTAATATACCTCTTTTTTTAAGTTTCACAGCTGTGTCGCTGTGAACAATGTCAGATATTTATGAAAACATTTGAAAAATCAGGCAAAATCAAAGTCAGTTGCCATCCTGAAGGTTTCCATATTTCATGTGCTATGAGTTCCAGCACATCACACAGGCCCTGATGCATTCTGTATTTGTTTTTTGTACTTTATAAGTAATTAATTATGCTTAATTTTCTGTGATTTGTCAACTCAATCACACAAATTGTGAAGAAATTTGAGATTTTATGTCCTATTAATAGCTAGAAACACCTGAATACCTAAATGGCTTCTGTATGATTTTCTGATTGTGATGACGAACATTCTTTAATTCATTAACGTGAATACAAAATTTTAATACAAATATAATAAATATTTGATATTATTTTAACTCTTTCGTTACTGACCCACAATGAATGATGGACAATTACACACAATTATGAAAACATGAACTTCTTAAACATATTAATTCAAAATGACTACTTGATACATAAACTGTTTTTATTAAAATTGTTTTAATTTCTTCCTTCTTTTCTTTCTTTTTTTTTATTGTGAAGTCAGACAGATGTGTTTAAGCAATTCATCTTTCATGAGCTCACCTGACTGTGTTCGCAGACAGACAGCAGCAGTGAAGGGCAGCTGAGGGGGTCAGTGAATTCACTAGTGGCTTTTCTGTTCTGGTTTTTGTTGCAGACAGTTTGGTTTGACCTACATCAGCGACTAACAGACACTGATGGCACAACTAGCGCAGTAAGTACTAAAGCACGACTTATATACCAAAGAGCATGAAAAAAAATGCATAAAAGGAAAAATGCATGACCAATTTCACCTTTTCCCTCCATGTTAAAACACAAAAACAGCATTATTACTTAAAAGCAGTGAATAAACCCCCGTCAAATCAAGATTGACTCCTCGTGGGTCTCTTCAGTGCTCCTCATGCTGTTCCACACACCTGCAGCAAATCTGCCACCTATTCCTCAGGATTCAGCCACATTTCTTTCTCAATATGAAAGCACCAGCTCCGTGTTTAATACCAGCATGCTCCGGGAGTCATTTGTGCCTCTAAAAGATAAGAGGCGGTGTTACACTACACTTCGCCAGGCCCCAAATCAGTTCCGCTCTGTGGACCATTGATACACACAGCAGCACATGATGGGAATGCACAGAAATATCATACAGTTTTGTTCAGTTAAAGTATGGGAGTGCTGGGATTTAATCTCTTGTAGACCTTTGTGATTTAAAAGTTTTAGATCTAATAAAGAAAAAATAGCTTTGTTTAAAAATAGGAAAAAGTGCAACCGAGTTCAGTGTGTAAAAGAGATCTTAGCTCAAATTGACTCCCATCTTATTGACATTGGAGGGATCAGGGGTAATTGAATCATTCCTTTTTATCCATTAATCCTTGTCAATGGGGTTGAACAGGTTCCACTTGACAGCTTCAGTGTGTGCCTCTGTGTTTGTTAGTTAACACAAGCTTTATTTTGGGACCCGTAAGATATTTCTTGAATTTATCACACCTACAATAATATTAGGGTGTCCTGCAGTGATTGTCACACACAGACCAGAAATGAGCCATTTTAAAACAATGACTGTACCATTTCGGTGTTATTTCTTTGTTTACAAGTGATTATTGCTCCATTTGTTTATAGTAAATTGCATGCATTTTGACATTTGGATGACAAGAAAGCATTTTAACGAAATGAACCTAATTTTAATACATTTTGGTATGAACAGTAATGCTGAGTATTTAAAAGAAAAGGGAGCGGGTACAGGTAACTGTAGATTTTTATTACAGCAATAGTGTATTTCTTCACACCCTCATATATTTGAATATGTATGAATGTATATATTAGCATATGATTATTGCTACTTAGGTTTTTGTTTTTTCTCCTGTAAATATTTATGTAAATCTTTACAGTGAGCATACAGGTTGTACATTTCACACGTATATAAACTAAATGTTCAGGCATCACATCGGCAATGTGTTGCCACCTCCAAATATAAGAAAACAATGGCTTTTTGAAGTCTATAACAGAGTGGAAATGCTCAAAGAAGGGAGGGGTCTTATCTTATCTTCTCTTCAAGCCATTTTTTATAGAGAGAGGACTTATTGATCAGTCCAACAGCTCAATGCATCTGTTTGCTCAGCAGTTTATACTTTAAAGGCTGTATTCACTGACTTAAATAAGCTCTTACACCACCTGCAGTGCTTGTTTTGATTGGCCAGGAGGAACATAAATCAGCTGTCTGCTATTAAAACCACAGAAGCTAGGCAGAAAGAGAAAAGGAGAGCTATCTGAAGCAGTTATACAACTATGTATCTGAAAGCCATCTTTACTCGTTAAGAGGGAATTATCATAGGATGGATGCAGAAAGGGAGAATGAGCTGCTCCTATTTATGCCTCTCAGACTTTAATAAAGCAGCTAATTTAAAGAGATGCTAAAGTTCAGAAGGGGAGAAATTAAAATGCGATTTACTCTGTGATACCAGTGAAAGGAAAAATGGGGGTAGAAAGATGTCAATCATAAAAGAAATGGGACGGTATTCCCCAGTTTCCATGGTAACGGTGAAATTTCTCAAATCCTCTGAGGTTTCTACCATTTTTTATGGACTCATACTGTACCTGAGACATTCTACTCACTTACATGGTAGGAAATTGTGCACATAAAATACTCCCTCCTCTCTTAGTGTGTGTGTGTGTGTGTGTGTGTGTGTGTGTTTGTGTGTGTGTGTGTGTGTGTTTCACAGTCTGATGCATAATGTAGAAGTGGAGCAGTTCAACTCCACATGGGGGTCTTTAGGGTTCATTAGTTTAGGTTCCCTTCTGAGCTAAAGAGAAACACTCCCTCTCTCACACACACACACACACACACACGTGCATTCACATCATACACATACACAAAGCACATTGACCACATCAGGGATTGCTAATTCCACATAAACCCAAATGAGAGACATTGCAATACACCCAATAAATATTACTTAAGGAAATTTAAACTGGCTCCAATCATAGTGAGAGATTTATGGATTCTAATAATACAATATCCCGCTGATCCCAAAGCCTCTTAAGAGTTAGACTATGGGTCACATTTGCTTCATCTACAGAGCTTTGTTTTATCAGTTTATTCCACAGCACTGAGTCTGAATGAAGCCCCCTCGCTGTTCGAACAAACACTGAAGACTAATGAAAGACATTAGTGCAATCCGTCGCAATGCAGCTCGTTTGGAACAGTCACATGTTGAAATGCAAAGAAAATTGGATTCCGAACCCTCTTGCATTTCTCTAATTATTCGTATGTGTCCATCAGATTAGGCCTCCAGTGGAGGAGAATGGGAAGGCAGAATAATACTTATTGAGTTTTGTGTAGGTTGGGTAATGTAGTGTTTCTGATTGCATTCTGGCTAGTGTTGGGTGGCATAGTGCTCTTGATTAAGTTCAGGGTTTATTACCACGCTTCTGCTCTTTTATTGCCCTCCCCTTCGGGGAACAGGACGGCTGTCAAATCAAAGGGCCTAATGGTTTTCACTTGGGTTTTATCTTTCCCACCTGCCGGGGAACAGCACATGGTCTATTAAAGATGTGACACCTTAGTTATAGCATGCACTACCCCTGCGTTTCATTCGTAAGGGCTCATCCCTATGCCCTAATCCCTTCAAAGGGTTTACCCTCTGGAGTGAGAGCTTCGAAGGGTTGAAGGGTGTAGGGGACCAATCAACTGTTCCTTGAAGTGCCCTTCTGCGTCATCATCACGTGCCCGCACAGAGGCGCCGTCATCATGCAAAGAATTGTAGAACCGAAGTGTCCATCAGTTGTACCCTTCGAAATCCTTCATTCCGAAGGGCCCTTTGAAGTGGCCAGTTTTGAGCACTTCGGTTTGGAACGACCCTTCAATATGGCGGCCATGTTTGTTTTCACTCTGAAGTGCCCTTCGGAGGGCGATATATCCCGTTTGGAACGCACCGTACATACAGAAAATACACCTTGGTTTCTCTAAAAACATACCCTTTCTTCACTATTTAATTCCTGTAAAGTTATGATTTTTGTTGCGGTGAGGTTGTTTGGTTGTAATATGGCATATAAAAGTTATAGCCAAACCCAAACTGAATTGGAAGACTTTTCTGTTAGGGAAAATAATTTAAGACTAAATAATTCTGCAAAGTTTACCAGGTGCGGTGGGCCTGGTTATAGGATAATATACACAACTGTTCAAAAGTTTGGGGACACTCACCAAGGCTGCATTTATTTGATCAAAAATACTGTAAAAACAGTAATATTGTGAACTATTATTACGATTTAAAATGGCTGTTTTTTTGTTTTACTATTTTAAAATATAATTAATTCCTGGGATTGCAGAGCTGTATTTTCAGCATCATTACTCCAGTCTTCAGTGTCACACGATCCTTCAGAAACCATGCTAATATGCTGATTTGGTGCTCAAGAAACATTTCTTCTTCTTATTGATGTTTATATATCAGTTATTCTGCTTATTTTTGTGCAAACCATAATACTTTTTCAGGATTCTTTGATGAATATAAAGTTTAAAAGAACAGTATTTATTTTAAATAGAAATCTATTATAACTTAATGTTTTTACAGACACTTTTGATTAATTTAATTTATACTTGTTAAATAAAAGTATTCGTTTCGTTTAAAAAATCCTACTGACCCTAAACTTTTGAACTGTGGTGCATTATAAACATTTTAGAGAATATTGTTTCAGGTTGAAATGATGTGCATATAGGCATCTGAAACTTTTATGATTTTCAGCATATAAATGCAGATGTTAATCAACACGTTAGGCTCCTCAGGGTGCTCTGCAGTGTGGAAATAGTCCGCCAAACAAATATTACATTTAAACCTATAATTTCTTAGTCTGTGGCAAGGTAATATCAGTTATTTAATCAAATCTCTCAGACTTAATAAAATTGGTTCAAGATGACAGCACCAATTTAGAAAGGAGTTGGAGGCTTGAGTGACGTGTTACACGAGAGGCGCAATCATGTGAAATCTGAAGTCAGAAGAGGTTTATTTTCATTTCCGTTAAGTTCTAGGTTGTTCCGTCTGGAAATGTTATGAATTTTTTTTTCGGTGCTTGTTGCAAAGGCCAGTTTTAAAGCCAGCACTGTACTTTATTTGGTAGCCAACCACACTCCCACAATTCTACATCATTTACTGATTACACTGGGAATTAATTAGTTACTTAGGCGACGATCCAAAAGAGTAGCTGTATTGATTTTACAGTCTGGTATGTATCATATTTATTTTTCCTTCTCCTAAAGGAGTAACCATATGCAGATCTTTCATAACCCTTCATCTGCAATATAGACCATGACTCTGAGTAAATGAGGGTCAAAGCCTTTAAGGCAGTTTGCTTTTCCTTAACGTGGTTAGAATTAAGTGTTTATAACTTATGATTTCTTGAACCCTTCTGCTGTGATTTGAGTCTCTAAATATGTCTGGTTTTATTTATTTATTTTGCCTAAAGAGAATATTAAGTGAATATTAACATCAAGACAAATGTTAATAATATTCAAAGCGTTCCTGTTGCTCTCTTTCTCTTTCTTCAGTCTCTTTACCTGATCCGCCAGGAGATGAACGTTTCCCAGAAGCAGCTGGGAGAGTTCTGCGAGGCCCTGAAACAATACCTGAAGAATGTGTCTGCTCAAAGAGACTGTTTCCAGTGAGTTAAGTTCATGGTTTTGTCTTAAACTTGACCTTCTAGTGAGTATTTTTCTCATTCCCTCCTCGTGTCTCAATGCATCATATTCAGTTCAACCAGATAAGTCATTATGATAGTACAAAAGTATTCTTTGCTTTTTTGTGATGTCAGACTGAACCGTTTTCAGTTACTTTTTATCTGCTGAGGGAATGGCGCATGTATGTTCTATCGAAGTTTCATATATTTCAAAATGTCTTTTGGAGGGTAGCAAAAACTATACTGCTATGCATTTCTTAGAGAATGAACCTGTGCATCTCTCATAAATCATGAACTAGATGATGTATGTGTCTCAATATTGTGTATTTATACCTGATGTGTGGAAATACAGCACTGTATCATTTTGCCTCCTGTGGATAAAGATGGCAGGCGAGCAGAGGGAAGTGTTGTTATTCTAGTTCATGATTTATTTATGAAACCGGCTAAACAATGGCTGCTTTTCCTGCAGTATACACATAATTTACAAAGCCCTAAAATATCAAAATTGTCCTGAAATGTTTTAAAATCAGTACGTTTGTGCTCCCTGCCACCATTCAAAAGGGGTCAACAAGTTTTTTTTTTGTTTTGTTTTTTTAAGAAATTAATACTTCATTTATTCAGCACGGATGATTAATATGAATAAACGGATGAATAAACGGATCAAAAGTGACAGTAAAGACATTGAATCCTGAGAATCCAGAAAAAAAATGTATCCTTTTCCACGAAAAAATCCTAAGCAGCACAAATGTTTTCAACAATGATTAATTGAGCACTAAATCAGCTTTGCCATCACATGAATAATTTAAATGTTCAAATACATTAAAATTAAAACCAGTTATTTTAAATTATAATAATTTATACTATTTATATTTAACAATATTGCTGTTATTACTGTATTTTTGATCAAATAAATGCAGTCATAGTGAGTATGAAAGACCTTTTTCACAAACATTAAAACAAGTCTTACTGTCCCCAAACTTTTGAACGGTAGTTGCTTCATTTTGAAATTTTTGGTCAGACCACAACTGAGAGCATTTTTTTTGCAGCCCCACAGGATGAAATATTAATGTAAGAGCAGTGAGTAAAGTAGGTCCTTTGTAGTGTTTCTCAAGGAAACTCCCTGAGTCTGTTCTCTGAGAGAGGGCTTTGTGTGGCAGCATTTTGTACTGCCGTCAAGATTCACATCAGACTAGTGAATAATTGATCAGCGAGAACATCTGCAAGCTTCTACAAATACCCCATTGCTGCTGAACTGTCATCTCTGTAGCCTCCCTTTTATCTGCCTTATTTCTTTCAACTTTCCTCCTCTCTATTGCTCTATTATCATGTTCTGTTTGTGAAATATTCAGAGGTTCCTTTTTTGAGTTGAACAGGGAACAAAATGCTGTTTCGTTTTTACAACCGCTCTTATAACTCAATAACACCAAGCCACTGACTGGCTTGCAATGCTGTTGTTCACAACAATAACACACCTGTACAGTTACTAGTCAAAATGAAACCACAATTGAACCTATTCACTGTCTTAATGCACATTCTGTGAAGAATTCATTGGATTTATCTAACTTTCCTCTCAAACAACTTTTCCTTTCTACTGTTTTGCCATGCAGGCTATCGGGTAATGCTAATTAATAGTCTAATAGCTCACATTCAGTCTGCATTCTGGTATGTAATCCCCACTTTTCACCATCCAAATGATTCTTCTATCTTATTTCATCTTGTCTATCTATCTATCTTAAATGCATCAGGCATTACATTACAGATGTAAAATGGATAGCAGAAACCATTAACATTGACTTTAAACAGCTACAGCTTCTGGAGACATGGCATGGCATGTTCTGTTACATGTGGGCGACCCAAGATTGAGTAAAGCTTGAATCATTTCCCCATCCAGAAAGCAGTCCAGAAACTGCAGTACTTGCTGCAGTTTTGCAGCCTCTAATGAAAGTTTGAGGAGTGTGTGGTGATTGTTTGGACTGGCTGATGTTTAGACTTCTGTTGATTTATTGAGCTAATGCTAATCATTGCTACAGCTGCAGCCCTTTAGGCAATATAAAAGCAGAGCAGGAATTGTGAGGAGGTACTGCCATCAAGTGGAGGGTCATACAGTACAGTGGATAATTATGGTTTTGTTTACGGTTTCTATAGAGTGGAAGTAACACACAACACATTATCCCTATTTTCTTTATTCTGACTGTTTGTTTTTATAAAATTTCCAGGGTTTTCCATCAGGCTGCTGAATCATTGTTTTTGAAAAGTATGAGAATGAAAGAGTGTAGAGTGTTTTTTCACTTCTGTACTTCTGTTCATCTCTCTCCAGTGTGACGGCTGTGCGGCTGCCTGACGGCCTTTCCTTTGTGGTGTATGAGTTCTGGGATGGAGAGGAGGAATGGAAGAGGTACAGTGAAACACCTTTTTTTCTCTGTGTGTGATCTTCTCTAAACTCCTAAACCACCTGAATTATCTTGAGACGAGACATGAAAATAAAAAACTAACATATTGGCCTAGATATGAAAATAAAAAAACTAAGATATTGGCCTGTATTTTTTGTCCTTTAGTTTCGACTGAACTTTTTCTTGAGCTTGAGCTTGACTTGAGCTTTTTCATTGTATGGACAAGAGCAGCTTTGACATTTTGATGACTCCTTTTGTGTTTCATGGGGGTCATGAGTTGCAAGTGAAATGAAGGTGGATAGACAATGACTAATTTCATTCAGCAAATGATGAACTCAAACTCACCAAATTTAAGGTGGAGTCACATTTACTGTTTCTCGGCAGAATTTCACAATCATCAGTCATTTTGATAGGAATCTGTGTGAGTAGGAGTTTCACATGAAGGTGAAAAAGTTCAACTTGTTTACGCAAATTTACAACACTGACAACAGGAAGCTGCTTGGTTTGAAAGTGACTTATTTGTTCATACATTTCTACAGTGTTTACAATAGACCAATTTGGATTTTCTGTTCTAAAAATCTTTCCGAAATTTAATGTGACCACACCTATGGGTGTTTTCTGAAACATAATTTAAAACAAACACTTTTAACAGTGTTTTTCATGCAATAAGTGAGCTTTATTATTTACTTATGAAACAAAATTATCAAAAATACTAATTTTATGAAAGTTACATTCAAAATCCTCTTGGCTCAAAAATCTGAGGATCAAAAATCTGACACATAAACAATATATTATTGATGCTATTTTGCATCTAAAGACATTACAGTGCTGGAAATTTTTTTTGCTCCTTTTCTAACCTTCTCTGCTTCTCTCTCAGGCACATTCAGACTGCAGCTTGCAAGGCTTTCCAGCATGTGAAAGTGGATACTCTGTGCCAGCCCGAGGCTGTGTCCGCTGTCGCTGTGCCTGGTACGTTCCACTGCTGCCAGCCGTAGGGTCTGCTATGGGCATTGGTGCCAAGCCAGCCTTTGATGCTACTTTTTGTGTCTTGTGTCTCTGGGGTGATGTCCTTACATTTCACAGCCATTAAGTATTCCTACCTGCCCTACAGGATTACTCTCATTTTCAGCATGCCCGTCCTCTGACATTCTCTGCATTAACATCTTTTGAAGTTCGAAATCTCTCAATCTTATTTCAGCTGTATGTCAGGAGACAGCTTTTGCAAAATATACAAACAGTGTAATTATCCTACATAGTTGTAAATCTCTTTCTCTCGATAGATAGATAGATGGATAGATGGATGGATGGATGGATGGAACAAATTCATATATATATATATATATATACACACACACACAAAGTGAGTGCTTGTTACATATATACAGAGAGAAAGAGATAGAGTGAGAGATAATCAATATTTTTGAATTTGTTTATATATAAATAAATAAAAATATTTATTTTATTTAAAAAAATAGGGATTAAAACACGGTGGCCTGTATAGCACCAAAATTTTTTAAATGTGTGTGTATGTTAAATTATATATTTAATATATAACATTTTAAAGAAGTCATTTAAAACTATTGAAAAAAAAACTGTTAAAAATATCACATATTGAAGATTTTTTTATTTAAAAAGTCATGAATATTGCAATAAATCTCAATAGCTCAATTGCAATAATCTGTATCAATAAATAACTCATAAATATTTTATATATTTCATCTGTTCAGGAATGACTAATATGACACAAGCAAACTGTTTGATTTTTTTTCTCTTTTTTAGTGAAGGTCTGCTTTGATTCTCCATTACAATTTCCAGTACTCCTTCCATCGCATAATCGAAACACTTTATCTCATGTGGTGCCTTTTGCATAACCGCAACAGAAATGATTTGTCTAAAATGTCGGTTGACATATTTGTATAAACCTAAAGGAAGGAAGCTGGGGCATTTAACATTTACTGTTTATCTCTTTAATACTGACACTGACTCTGTGTCTCTCTTTCTAGCCGCCTGGTGCAGCTTGAACAGAGACTGAGAAGCCAGCCGGTCTGCAGGTGGAATGGTCCCGCCTTATGCCTGAAAACCTTCTCTTCTTCCTCCCTCTGTCACAGTCCCTGCTATCTTAACTACCCCCACCCCTTTCTCTCTGTGCTTTCCCCACTCTGTCTCCTTCTTTTTGTAGTTACTTGTTTACACAGTATCCATTTGATATTGAGCCAAAAGTAGTGTCGGCTGCAGAGAACACCAGACACAGTACTGATTCCCTCTTCACCCACCACTGCACACAGTGCAACACACAGAAACGACATTAAAACTCCCCAGAGCTTTTGGGAACCTCACCTGGTTGATTTGCATTTGCATTTGAAATACCAACTTGCATAAACAGTGTCTTCAAACGAAATGAGGCTGATTAATATTTCATCCCAATTCAAAGATGCATCCGCTGCTTTGCAAACAGTTCCCTATGGTACAACTTCTGAGAAGACAAAAACTGTGCAGCAAAGTATTTCTACAGCCGTCCATGGACAATAGTGTTTCTGTAAAGGTCGTTTGATATTAGTTATAGTGTTATAAGTGCTTTGAACTGTATCTTCATGACACATTTGCGTAACGCACTGAGCCACGTAGAGAGACTGGTACTTTTGTCAAAACATGACCATGACGCATTCTGCCAGTCAAAGGGCCTACATTTACAACACACCAAATAAACATCTGGTCCAAAAGCACAATGTACCTGAAGTATAGATGAAATGCTTATGTAAATGAGATTTGCTGGTAGAGAGTAGTAATAACAGAATTATATTGAATATTTTATGTTGATCATTTTTGAAAGATAATATTTGGATCTAGGAAGAGTGCTCAGAGTTAGAGAGTGGCATTAAATTCTTATTCCATCAGTTTTATTGCTTCTCTACAATTGAACATTTGGCATCATGTCATTTCTCAGGACAAGCAAAAAAATGTCCTCATAGTAGAGGATTTTTCAAAGTGGGTCAGACTTCCACATCTCTCATTTGTTGATCAGTAACTCAAAGGCTGTTGTATTTGTGTGAATTTCTGGTTGGCTCAATGTGTAAACAACTCAAAACCAATACGGCCCAAACTGCATCATTCCTTTCCGTTTGCTTTCCCACCACTCCTGCCTTCTGTTTGGTTTGTTTATCCCTCACAGTGAGTGCATGTAACAAATGAATGTCCAGTAAATTATTTGCCGTAGAATTTAGCTATGCTACTTTAAATGGATTTTGTGCATTTCTTATTTTCTTTTATATTACTCCAGTAACGGAACAAAAAACCTCTCTCTCTCTCTCTATATATGAAATGAATAAAACTTACTATATGAGCAGTCACTTTTAATGGCATTGTTTGATGAAATACTACTTATATCCATGTATGTTTCCGTATACTGGCTTTCTCTTATAAGTGAGTGTAGAGATTTATTGCAGGGATGCAAAGTATTATATTAGTCTTCAATTTGCTAAAATTCTAGATTATGTAGAGTGCTGCTATTCAATAAAGTACTGAAAAAGGATCAGTCACTGCATTTTTCAGCTTTTTTTCAGTCACTGGTTGTTGGAATGAACTGATTTTGAATGAATTGAAAAATGAAAATTTTTTCACTGTCACATTCAATTGTACATAGACAAATTATATAAAAATGTGTTTATTAATTTACAAATTTGCTTATGTGTACAAAAGTGGTTCTGATGAGACCTAAAGAATAGTCCAAATATAAACACACAACTTCAGCTCTTTTTCTAATTTCATATCCTATATTCTTTTATTATAACTAAGCTCACATCTGTCCCAATGTGACATTGGCCATTAAAATAGCAGAACATTAAAAAAATAACAATATATAAATAGTTCAGATTTACATGACATGTTTGACTGAGGTATTCCATACAAATTTAGTTGTACATTTGTACAACAATCTCCATTTTTAAGGAATTATTCCATACATGAAGTATTGGAGCAATGTCTAAAATTATGCCAACCCATACAATACCATACAATTAAAAGTCCTTGTGTTGAACAGTAACAGACAGAAATTTAAGTATCACTTAGGAGTTGCATGATCGCAATAGAAGTGCTCTGGCCAAATATATAGGTACCACAGAAAAGCGTTATCATTCCCCATGTGATCAGAAGATATCTGGGACAAAACAAAGCATAAAAACAAAAGGTTATTGTGAAAGTAAAAGAATAAGTATGAATTTTATTAAACATCAAAAACAGGATCCTAAAGCACTATGGTATTTATATCCCACTTCACTCACCTCATTGCAAGAGAAATTGACTCTGACTGCACCACAAATACTAGGCAAAGCCCTTTAATAAAAATGAATGCAAATGAACACAAAATTATATGAATATACACATGCTACCAAGATTCGCATTATACCAAAACGCACAGACACTGTTGTGAGAATCAAACTAAAACCATTATTCTTATTTAAACTGGTCATATCATGAGGAATATTTTTATAATCAGAATGTAATAATAATAATATAAAACACATGAAAAAAAATGTGAATGTGAATATTCATTTTTAATTTGATAAATTATGGCATACAGAAACACATTTTTTTTTTCAACACACATCATGTGGCATTGTAAAAGAAATCAAAAGACACAATTACCTGGAAATATAAAGATGAAGAAAGCACTGACTCCTCCGACAACACTGATCACTTTGCTAATGTCTGGATCAACCACTGCGATGAGAAGAGTGATTGTGACCCAGACTGTGGTCAAGGCAACACGGGTCCGGCTCTCGTAAGACTCTGTCACCGCTGTGTGTTTGTGTCGTCGCCGCAGCAGTGGATCCTGAATCACAGATCTACACACACAGACGTGTCACTTAATCTATAGATGTACAGTAACGCTTCTCCTAATAGCCATAAGACAGTTTGCTGTATACCTTCCAAGCAAGATAATGATGGGGTAGATGGTGATGATTGAGATTCCAAACAGCAGCCTGGCAACGATCATGGTCACATCACTCCCACTGTACGACATCAAAATATCAGGAGCAACGTTCTTCCCAAATGTCAGATACCCAAAGACTCCTACAAAATAGTCCTTGTTAACAGCTCATCTGTTAAACAATATGCTCATTAGTAAATGCATGTATGCCAGTCAACCATTACACTCTCCTTGATAAAAAAAAAAAAAAAAGTATGAGCCAAGAGGACTGTGGTCAGAAATATATAAAACCTTTAACCTCAGATCTGGCACAGCAACCAGTTCAGTAAATAATCAGAAATTAGAATCCTCAGAAATATTGTGTGAAATATAACTAGAAGAAGCTTTTAACGTTAAGACATTCAAGTCCACTTACAGGGCCAGGGACAACGTGAATGCAAAGAAGAGTTCAAACTTGTTTTTTCATTAAATTCACTTGAGTGCTCTTGAATTTAGTTACTTTAAAGAGGATTCAAATATGTGTACACACACTATTGTTCAAAATGTAATGAAGTAAAAAAAAAAATAAAGATTTTAAATTATTTTATTTTAAAATGTAATGTATTCCTGTGATGCAAAGCTGAATTTTCAGCAGCCATTACTCCAGTCATCAGTGTCACATGATCAGAAGTAAAGAGGATTCAAATATGTGTACACACACTATTGTTCAAAATGTAATGAAGTAAAAAAAAAAAATAAAGATTTTAAATTATTTTATTTTCAAATGTAATGTATTCCTGTGATGCAAAGCTGAATTTTCAGCAGCCATTACTCCAGTCATCAGTGTCACATGATCAGAAATCATTCTAATATGCTGCTTTGATAATAAGATTTTTTTTCTTCAGCAACAATGTTGAAAACAGTTGTGCTGCTTAATATTTTTGTGTAAACGTGGTATTTTTTTCAGGATGCTTTAAATACTAAGTTCAAATGCATTTATTTAAAATAGAATTGTTTAGTGCCACTTTTAATCAATGCGTCCTTACTCAAAAAAAAATCTTTACAATTTACAAATATATATATATATATATATATATATATATATATATATATATATATATATATAAACAAATAAACAAATTAAATAAAATAATATAAAAAATAGAGAAAAAAATGTATACAAATAAAAATATATATTTAAAAATGTTGTAAATATAAAAATAATACAAATAATATTTTGTTTTAAACTGCAATTGCAATTAAATAAAATTAAATAGTAATATATATATATATATATATATATATATATATATTTGCAAAATGCCATATATAAAATAAAATATATATATATATATATATATATATATGAACAAATTAACAAATTAAAATGGCTGTTAAAAGTGATTTGTAAAATTCAGCATTCACAACACAAATTTGTTAATGTACGTGAAGCATGATTCCATATGAAGTTTTGGTATTGAGTTTCGGTAAATAAGCTTTAATTACTGACCGGTGAGAGAGTAGATGATGAGGCAGATGAACATGGATATCACAGAGATGAAGACCCAGTGGGACAACTTCCTGTTCTCCATACTACTGTAGACAGCAATGCAGGCCTCATGGCACTGAAACAGACACAGTATCAGCAGCACAAGCACAGCTGTGTTCAAACATCTGATCTCCAGCACGCTTTGCCTGCACCGAAAAAAAGCTTTTCCTGTAATAACTAACTTTCTGCACTAGGCCATTTCTCACCGATTCCCCTGTTGCACAGATCGTTTCATATCTCCATTTCCCTCTTCTCTCCATTCCCGTCTTGTAATCAATCAGCTTCGGGCAGCGGACACAGAGTGATTCAGCGCTCTTCTGTTATGCCAGTGGACTTTTATTACATTTCTGACAATCCCCCAGCGTTGACAAATAAAACTCACCTCAAAGATGCACCATTTTTCACGCTTTGCATCTGACCTGACCTTAAATATTAATGCGAGAGCAAAAGCAATTTTGGCTTCCCCTCATTTGTGGACTGGAGTGATGATATTCAGTGAAAGAATTTCTCTTTTTTCCTCAAAGGTGAAATGGCAGCATGTTGAATAAAAGCAAGAAAACTCACCTGAAAGCCAAAGCAAATAGTCGGGATGACGCTGAACATCGAAGCCCACAAGCTTACTCTAAATAATAATACAAATAATGATAGTTAAGCAGGTGGCTTTACAGATAAAAGTTCCTGTGACCTTTTGCTTTCAGTTGAATGAGCCAATGACATTCTCTCAGCTACATTCTTTCAGCATGACAGTAAGTTTTGTTGAGGCACGGCAAGAGGAAAAGATGCTTCTGAAGATGCTGGGATCTTTTATACAATTTGCCACTAAATTTGAAAGCTGCATCACTCCACACTCACCCACTGCTGTAAAGAGGCGACAGATTGATCTCATGGACGGGCCTCATGTGGTATTTCACAGTGACGGCTACAGTGAGATACGTGGCAGCAAAAGTTCCTAGAACACTGAGCAAAAATAAATATCAAAAACTATTGATGAGAAAATAAATGCGGCTGACATAAAACAAATTATCTTGATGATGCGTGGGGAAGAAAGCTGTGCTTATTAGTCAAAGCAGAGGAGAGTCATTTTAAAGCTATTCAAAATGTTGTGCACTGTCACTGCAATTGACCATAAAAGTCCGAATGAAAAACAGAAGCAATAATACCACTTCATAAAATTCATGAAAGCACAATCACAGTCTTTTTAATTCACTTATTCGCAACTCTTTCCACCTAAACAGGCTTCCCACAGTCTTCAATCAAATTCCATGCCCTTTCCAAAAAAAACATTTTGACTAAGACCCAAAAGAATAATTTGTAAACTGTTGCACACAATTCACTAAAAAGAACCAGTTTAGAATCATTCACTCACAAATGGGACATCACTGTGACTTGTGAGTAAACGCCAATGTCTAACTGATGAAATACATCTTGAGCAGATCATAACTAGAAAAATAATCGCTATAGGAATTACCATTAAAACACAACTGTTAAAACTGAAAAAACTGTGCTTTCTGAACAAGGGTTATGCATTATTTATATACTATTACAGCAATTATTAATATTTTAAATTAGCTTTTATTTTTACATTTTCATTCATTAATATATTTTTAATTAATTTTAATTTTTAGTAATTGTGTTGTGCTTTTACAATTTTCATTCATTTTTTATTTCTATTTATTTTTTATTTCAGATTTAGTACTTTCTGTACCTACATTTATTTCAGTTAGTTGCCAAGCAACTTTTCTCATTTTCAAGTTTTTCATGTAATATTTATTTCAATGATCAGAAATGGCTTATAGTTTTAGTTAACAATAATAACACTGTTCTGAACAATACAGTCAAGAAAATAAGCAACAACAACAAAAACACTTACAGAATACAGTTCCTCACCTGGTATACTTCTGTATGCTGATCTCCTTTGGGACAGAGAGAGGGAAAATGAAGAAGAGACACAGGAGAAACGGGGCAAATCTGTGGTCTGTGTACCAGTAGTACGGCATCTCTGATTCTGGCAAGCCTGTGATTAACTCATATATATAGACACACACTGGGAGAAATGAATGGAGATGGATCAATGTGAGGATCTAATGGATAATGACTACTTTACAAAGACACTATATGAGCAATTAGTAATAATAAAAAGAGTTCAAAGTCCCATTAACGGCTTTATGTTGCTTACATTTCTGAAGCTGGTCAGCCACTATGACCAGAAAAGCAACAGATATGAAGAAGAGGTTGAAGACATAGCATATCTCACAGAGGTTGCCTATGGCAGGACCGCACACATCTCTGACCACAGCCTGATATGTGTTTTGTCCACTGATTGAAGACGAATAACCCAGGATGACAAGTCCACTGATCAGGAACACAAGAGAAATCTATTTAAATAAGACAAAATATATAATATCATGACCAGAGTTCAAATAAGTGGAAATATGTCATTCAGACTTCGTAGAGTTAACAATATGTATACACTGACCAAATAGTTCTCTCAAATGATCATTGGACACATTGGATAGATAATTTTTTTAGTGTGCATATAATCGATATAGTAGAAGCAACAGTGATGAAACCAGCTTAACTGAGTCATAAAATATTTAAAGAATCAGTGTTTCATTGTAGCAACCGCACAGAGTTACTTGCCATTTCCACAGTGACAGCTAAGTGAATTCCTCCAGCTTTCTCAAACGCCCAGGGAAAGATGAGAAGACCTGCACCGAGCCCAACTTCGCTCCGTTTGTGTCCAGAGAGGGCTTTGTTAAAAAGCTAATGCTTTCTTTAGCCAGCTCCTCCATGTTCGTCCCTGTTTGGATCACTCTCTGGGGGAAATCAAACTTTAGGTCAGGTGAATGAGGGGTGGGAGGTTGGCGTTTCAGGCCGATCAAACTCTCTTGATTAATTTACTGAAAAGCATTTGGGTTCATGCATTCATTTACAGCGGTACGACAACAATGTTACATAAAGACTTGTGTGAGTAAAATACGATCAGATTAAACAGTCATTGAGTAAGGTTGTTAAAAAAAATATTTAAATTCAAAATAAAAATACTAAAAATACTTTTTTTCAGCAGGGAACTGTTAAAAAGGATTACAGAGCTGTTAAATTTTCACTCATACATTTTTTGGAATACCCAGTGGGCGGTTGCATAAAGGCTAGTCTTAAGTTGGTCATCTAAATGTTTTCTTTAAGACTGATCATAACTTGTTTAAATCAGTTACATAAAAATGTAGATTGGTCTAACTTGAATCTCGAAAAAAAAAAAAAAAACATTTAACAGCGTGTGTTCCAGGGGTGGGGGTTTGGCACTGGTGCTACAGGCTCAATGTCACTCGTCTGGAGCCCAAGAAAATCACAAGCAAGGCTGGGAACTTTCCAGAAATGAGGGACAAGTGGAACATGTGACCTCCTTTATGACAAGATTTGGGAAATCCACTTAAGCACAGATAACTGGTCAGGGTTAGTTCCCATGTTCTTCATGTCATTAACCTCTATCAGGTTTCGTCACCTGGAAGGGACTGGTGACATTTTCACAGGCTATTCTTCCCATTAAAAATGGATCAGGAACGAGATTCAGAGGGGCTTCCCAGTGCCTATCACTTCTAATGGAATTAGTCGATTTCACACTGGCCTGAAGCAAAAGAGAAGGAACTACAGGACTGCTTAGCAGACAGTGTTGATCCGATTTAGAATGAAGAACACCAGCATTCAATTACAGGGAGCCGGTTGTGTGGGAAAGTCTGAAGAATGCTTTTTACCTTGGGAAACTCAATTTGTTATATTCCTTGCACTTTCAGTGATTCCCAATGCGGATTAAAAAGATAGCCTAATAAATGTTTGCAGATATATTTATCAAACAAATTCCATAAAAACAGTAATATTGTGAAATATGACCATTTAAAAATGTAATTGATTCATGCGATGAGTCTGCTGACAAAGCTGAATTTTCAGCAGCCATTACTCCAGTCTTCAGTGTCACTTGCTGAGTAAAAGTATTTCTTTCTCTTTTTTGAATCTTACTTGGCCCAAACTTTTGAATGATAGTGTACCACAAAAATATTAAGCAGCAAAAACTGTTTTCAACACTAATAATGAGAAATGATTTCTGAGCACCAAAGCAGCATATTAGAATGATTTCTGAAAGATCATGTGACACTAAAGACTAGAGTAATAGCTGCTAAAAAAATTCAGCTTCACAGGAATAAACATTATTTTTTAAAATAAAGAATGTGCATTTAATTCTAATTTAATTAAAGGTGTTTGTAACCCGTTAGAAAGATATATGACAGCACATATCTTTGTGTGTGGTGTAATGAAGATAAACACAAAAAGATGGACCAAGTCATATATGGCTTTCCTCCAAATAAATGTCCTGAAGTGAGATTTTACATCTGAGCAGAACAATGTTCAGGCAAATTAGTGGGCCACAGAGTCAAACCGCGACAGCATCATCCATCTTAAGCACATATATCTTACGCAAACTAAGAATAAATAGGTTAATCCATCATCAAAAATAGCAAAAGTAAACATAACCATTGCATAGGCACATATACTTCTGATGGTTTACCTGAATCATCCCTTGGATAAACAAGATAAACACTGTTCTTGTTTTTTCCTCCATTGTAATGTTATATGAAGACTGTCATCTAAGATTTATTAAAGACAGAGGCAGGTTTTCTTGCTTTATATCGGATAAGATATATTTAAAACACCAACAACAGTGAAATCATGATGGCTATTTACAAAATATGTAAGCACACAAGTTTTATAAAAAAAAACAGTCTGACTGAATACAAAAATGAGGACAGGTGGAAACAAGTCCAATATGTTAATCAAGGAAACTGAATAGCTGGTTTCGGTTGTCCAATTTGTCAGAAAGCAAGGGTCAATAGTCAATTATTCAACAATAAATTAAAAAAAAGGAACATTCTTCCATTTGGTCACTAAATTGAAAGGCAAGTGTTGAATAAAGACAAGAGAAGGAACACTGATGTCCAAACAAGGCCCTCATCTGGGCGCAGGTGGCTGGTTCATCTCAAGAATGTACAGACACAGCCCTTCAGATCTCATTATCATGGGGTTACGGCATCACACACACCGCAGGGAAGACTGTTCCCCGCTAGTTTGTCCAGATGTGGTATATAGCGGATCATACGGTGGGGTTTTTGCCTGAGTGTGGGGTTTGTGGTTGCTGTTGTTGAAGGTAAAGCGGTCGTTTCACTCTGGGTTTTCTGCGCTTGGGCTTGCTCTTGGCCTTGGTCAGTTGCACCACAAAGAAGGAAAGAACAACCATGGCACCGAGAAACGCAAACATTGGGATGGTCTGGCCCACCTCTTGATTATAGCGGCCGGGCATTATTCCTGAGAAAAACACACATGGATTACTGCAATGCGTTGGCTGAATTGTAAAAAGCCCTTTTGTGGGTTACATCTGGTTAATTATTTCCTAAACATGCAGCAAAAGTTCCTTCCTCACCTCCAGGGATATCCCAGGCTCCACTTTCTCCAGGAGACAGAGGTCGAACCTGAGGCCGATATGGCCTCACATTAGGCAAAACAACCTTGTCCATGTCCACTGACAGTAGCTTCTGGTGCTTCCACAGATTGCTGAGAACAAATAAATGTCAACAAACCTTGTCAGATGTAGATATTTAAAGACAATGCATCCAAATTTAGATTTGTTTCCACTGACAGTGCAGTAGTTAAGAATGGCAGTGGTCTCATGTGTACTGACCTAGGAGCAGTCTCATTAAGCGGCTGGGGTTTAGCCCAAGACAGATGAGGACATGCAGGTAGAGGACGAGGCTTAGGGTCACCCAGATGAGCCTCCAGCACTTTGGAGTAACGGTAGAGGTGATTGCCTACCGAAATAATAATAATATCATCAGATTAAATCCAATTCATAAAAATGAATGAATTCATTAAATGAATTAAAAATAATGAATTAAATTAATTAAAAACAAATTACTTATAATTAAAAAGCAATAATAATCATTTAAAGATAATTACAATAAACTGAAAATAATGCATTAATAAAAATAATTAATGAATGTAATCATTAAAATACTGAAAAATAATGCATTAAAAAAGAATTACAAATAAAATGACTAAATTAATGAAAAAAATACACATTAAAAATAGTGTATGTAAATTATGAATTTAAATGAAAATGTAAATGCATTACAATGAATTAATACAGTACAGAAAAATGATTCAATAAGTATTAATTTACCTTCCAATCTCTGTGGTAGTGGCCTGTCTGTGCCTGTAGGGGGCACCACTCTGTTTTTAGAGTGGGTGAGGCTGGGTGGAGCCATGCTATAGGAAGTGTACTGCAGCAGAGCATCCAGAAGCCAAAAACAGTCTAAATGGAGAAAAGAGAACCCAAACACATTGAATTAAATTAACAAGTCCAAAAAATAATTTAGTGGGGCTAGTTTCTTTTTACTCTCTCTCAGACATGTTTGTCCAAATTGTGAGCTTATATACACAACAAATGGCCATTACCTTTCTGTCTATGACTGTCATCAATACAGTTGGAGTCTCCGTAGAGTGCTATGCGGCCTCCCCCCTCAGAGGGTGTTTGGTACAGTCCAAGCACAGGCACATTTTCCACCACTGCTGTCTCTTGTTTCAAGACCTCCAGACCTAGAAAATTTGAGAATGTCAGATCACAATAACAAGAGGATTAAGAATACAAGGCAGCCTTTAGCTGGTCTCCATGGATACAGCAGTGATGTGAGGTGTACGATCACAGCAGGTGCCGTGTACCTTGATCCTTTAAGGTCTGAGCGATGACAATCCCATCCTCAGGAAAACGAGCGATGCTGCACCCCGAGGCGTAATACACTAAAAGCAAAAGATATGGTATATTATTGAAATCTAATTTTTGTTTTAGGCAAACTTGTCACCATTAAAACAGCCTACTCAATATCATGTATTTAGCAAGAATCTATGATACAGCTACGTTATAGCGAGAAGTTATAGAGTCTTACTGTCATGATCTGCCATTGTGAAGTCTCCCTCATACAGACCATCACTGAAGGCCATACCCCACACTGAGATCAGGTCATTCAAGGCTGGTACGTTAGCTCCCCCTGTGTCCGGCATCCACCATTGCCTGCAAATGTGTAAGGCATGTTTCAAAATTTGCCTTTATTTGATAAACAAAACATGATTGTCCTGAATTGGACACTTTACTAAGAGCCCAATTTAAAAAGTATTTGTCACATCCAATAATAGAAACCACACAATTTTAATCCCCCCCCAAAATAACATTAGTTTTTAATTAGGGCACTTAAATACCCTAATGGGAAGCACAATTTATTTAAATTAGGACAGAAAAACTTAACAGAAGATAATTGGAAAATTAGACAAACCCATCGCTGAATAAAAATGTCAGGTGAAATCACAATTAATCAAGTAACTAGCAAGGCAGTCTTGACACAAATTACGGTCTATTGAAACGCTAACTTTCTGTGCAATAGCATTAGTTAAGTTTTCTGCCATACACTGTGGTGTCCAAACAGCTTCAGAACAACTGAAATTAGTTTTTTTTTTTTTTTTATTTAAACCTACAGAATTAGTAAAAGGTTGCAGGATTAAAGCAATAAGAAAGTAAAAATATTAAAGAAATATTTCCCATGACCTAGAAATACATAATTAACATAATAAATGTTTTGTTAACATTTGTTTGTTTTTTAAAAAAATTCTTTAAACAAAAAAAATATTTTTACTAATGACCTCGGACTATTGGACCCCACTGAACATTCACCCAGAATTACATGCAGTACAGTGGACTGATAATGAATCTTTTAAAGATAGAGACAGTGACACAAAAGATTACGATATGCCTTGATGTTCTCAGTACCTGGTGTTCTCATCATAGAACTTGACTTTTCTCATGACTGATGTGTTGTACCAGTCACTGAAGATGATGAGAGACAGGCCGTTATCTATGTCCCTCCTCAACTTGGTGATTTCCTCTGGAAAATACTCTTCCTCACTGTCTACCATCAGCAAGGTCCCTGTAAACATGCATGCAGAGACAGATGACAGTTGATTTCCATCACTACTTGCACCACAAAACCAATTCATCTTCAAGACAGAATCCTTTATACAGAAAATACTCCACTAGATGAACACCTACCATACTGACTGGCATCAAAGCATGTGATTGGTGCACCTAAGACCTCGACAAAGTAGCCCATGCTGCGAAGGTGCTGATACATGTCTCTAAAGTTAGTGTGAATATGATCACCATTCCTTCAAAACAAGAAAAATGGGGATAAAAAGGTTTCTAGAAACAAGCTATGAAATGCTGCCCTCTACAGATTTTTTTCCACAGTAAAATGCTTTTTCGAACAACTGATTGAATGTGGATTATTTTTGGTGGTCGAGGCTCACCAGTCAAGTGGATCATTTTTCATGCGCAGGTTGTCTCGGGGGAAGTAGCCAGGCGGGTAGCGTAGGTTGTGGTACTGATCCCACAGAATCCTCTTACTACGTGGCGGGGTAGGGACAATCTTTACCTTCACTGGTAACTTAACAGTAGAGGTCATCTCACCACCTATTGCTGACTGGATACAAACACACGAAAAAGAGACCACAGCAGGTCATGATCTCAAATTACACTACTACAGTCTGAAAGAAGTGTGGTCATAAACCAATACAATTAACTTATGATTTAAGGAGAAGAGCACTTTGAAATACAAATTAAAATAGCAAATTATCACCTTACTGGAGATTTCAGGGACAGTACTGTTACTCACATCATTCTCTGCTGGTGAGGCCACTGTAACCATGACATGACCCTGAGCAATCCCTTCCCACGATGCAGCTTTCTTGGCCACAGATATGGAAACAGCCAGGTATCCGGCCCAGGGCCAGAGTACAGGCGAGTAAGACACCGCCACATCCACATAATCCCCATTCTGAGGAAGGTAGGGCTGCCAGATGGGCTGCGGATATAAAACATAACTGAGCTTAATCAAATGCACCATGAATTTTTGAAATTACAATTTAACGTAAAAAGTTTACATTGTGGTCTATTTATTACTGCCTACCTTGTCCACAATCCTTCCCGTCACACCCATACCATTAAGAATGGTCACGTTGACAATCGTCGGCATGCCACCGTAGTAAATAGGCTGAGAGCAGTAGGGCCACATGTACGGGCACTCGGTCAGATCTATGTAGCTCGGACTCAGGCTAAAGAATTATTTAAAAAAAAAATTCATTAGAGGACGATGACCACACTGAGAGCCAGTGCAAGATAATGAACCGGGTCAAATCTACCCTTTAATCAGGCTGTAACAATTAAATCTTAATGAGTGTGCGATAGAGATGCCTGGCTACATTTTAAATGAACCAATTCAGCATACATGAATAAGATAATGTGAGCATGCTACGTGAGCAGAATGCTAGTCAAAGAGCAGAACACTATATTTGTGCGGATGCCAGAGACATGCCTGGCTTGTGGCTTGTAGCTGTTAAGGATCTGGTAGGCTCTGAGTAAATCAAGTTTGCCATGGCCCTGCTCAAACATGTTGACGCCTGGCAGCCTGCGTGCGGAGGCGATCAGGGCCTGCTTCATACTGGCCGGGTTCACCAGCTCTCTGTTCAACACAGTGCTGGAAAGACAAAAGACCAACACAGCTCAGTTAAACGGATGTGGGTTGATGGGATATCATTTCAGTGCAACCGCAGGTTGAGGACTGGAAAACAGGCTTAAAAGAAACACTGGCACATAGTGACTCAGAGGCCATAAAACAGAGGCAGATGGGGTCATGTACCTATGAGAGACTAATACAAATGAGAGCAATATAAATGAAAGAGATAGAAAGGAATAGAACTGAAGGTGGTGAAATGAAAACAGTATAAAGTGGAAACACTGGCAAATTATGTTAGCCCATCACAGTCTGGGAGGACAGACTACATCAAATATACAGCAAAAGCTAGTAAAAGAGAAACTATGCCATTCAATTCCCTGTGAAAAATAAGATTGATTCGGTCAATTCATTGGTTTCTTGTTTTTCTTTTCTTGCAGGATGAATTTAATTTTTCTGTCATAAGGACAAAGGAAAAACAATAAGGCACTTACGCAGAAAACCATAGGTTTAGGGGACCAATTTATTTAGTTCAACTTCATATCAGTTGTGTGTGAGTGGTGTGTTTATAGCAATAAATGTACAAAGTACAGGTGAGCCCACTATCAATCTCTATCAGCACCCTGATAAAGCATCAAACACAGACCTAATAATGAAACCCTGATCTGAATCACTGATCAAAATGGATATAAAAATGTCTACACCTGACATTACTAAAGTGCACTCTTTTATTAAGTATATAGGCCTGAAATCAGACACCCCTAATTTAGGTGTTGAGTATATAAGATGAGATTTTTTTTTTTTTTTTTAATTATTTTATTTTATTCGGCAAGGAAGCATTAAATTGATTTTTTTTTTTAAAGGTGAGAATAAAGACATTCACACTGTTACAAATAGTTTATATTTCTAATAAATGCTGTGCTTTTGGACTTTCTATTCATAAAAAAAAAATCATGAAAAATGTATCACTTTTCACAAAAATATTAAGATTATAATAAGTAAAACAAATGTTTCATAAATACTAAATGATTCCTGAAAGATCTTAAGAGTAGGGTAATGGCTGCGGAAAATTAAGTTCTATTTTTTATTTTTTTTAAATGGTCCCACAAAACAAAAATCTGAAAGTGAGTTTGTAAATGTTAATGCAAAGCATTTTAGGAAACTTGTCAGTTTCATATTATTTTTGTTCATCTATCTCACCTGGCCAGTAGTGTGACAGCTCCGGCCACTACAGGTGATGCAACACTGGTGCCAGAGAGAGAACGACAGCCCTCCTTCAATCCTGAACCACGCACACCAGAGCCGTACGTCACAATGTCAGGCTTCACCCTGCCATAGCCACCTGGCAGCTCCTGATCAACAGGTAGCACAGAAAGCAAAACAATGATTAAACCAAGCCGACAAGACAGACTGACAGATATTGTGACGAGTGGAAAAGAGAGCAGCATGTTACCTCAGTGGACATTAAATCTAAATTCAGCAGTAATACATGGCCAGCAAGAGTGCACTTCTTTATAATGGCTACTGGGATGTTGGTAAGTTCGATAATAAACTGATTCCTAAATTTTTTATTTGCATCATTGGCCAAATTTTTTTTTAATGAAATCCAAAACATTTTAATATATTTAGGTAAACATTGTTGTTTATTATTTCAATGGTGTATTATTTTACCTAGACTACAATTTAAATTTTTTTTTAGCAATGTCACCCAGTTCTTTAACTGGGAAATCCATTTTCATTTATCTTATCTCAAGGACATTCATTTATTTGCAACTTTATTGAAAATCTACAAAGCTGTAATTCTTTGAACAACTTCAAAGGTGCAATAGAGGGTTTTTACTAAGTCTTTTGAAGTGCATGTACATCTCTTCAATTTATTCTCCTTCCTGAAGCGGGGGAGGCCAGGTATCTCCAACTCTGTGTAGCAGGAGGTGTCTGTCTGCCCTTTTTAAGTCAGATCAAAATGCACAAACATGTTCTAACTGGCCTCTTTAGGCAGCTGCACAGGAAAAATGCAGTAATGTGATGTCACCAAAAGACAGAACGCACCCATGTTGTCATGCCCCGGGATGAGAACCTGGCAATGTTGTCCTCAAAATCAATCCCTCCAACACCAATTACATCCATCTGATCTGCTGGATTGTTCAGAGTTCTGGAAGACAAATACAATTTTTTTTAAATCAGTATCAATAGATATGTTGGGAATATTGGCCAAATCTAATATAATTTGTCCTTAAACTACTTTTCTTACCCATAGAGTGGGCCATCATTGCCAATAGCAGATACCATAATCACCTTGTTGGCTGTGAGCTCCCAAACCTTGTTAAACAAGAGTTTTTATTAGAGCACTACATTTCAGAGAGCATAAACATTGATGTACAGTGTATTTTTACACTGCACTTTTATTCAAATTAGTTGGCCCTTATCAAAACTGAGATGTTTCTCATTTTTAGTTTGCTTTGGATAAAAGCACCTGCAGAATGAATAAATGTCCATTTAATTTGTCCATACCTTATCAACAAAAGGATGGTCCATAAAGTCTGGTCCCCCTATACTGAGATTTAAGACGTCTATCTTCTTCAGGATGGCATAGTTAAAGGCATCTAAGAACCAGGAGGTGTAGGACACCTAAGAAGAAGAAGAAGAAAAAAAAAAAGAAAAAGAAAAAAGAAGAACATATGCGTATGTGGAGATGTGTAAAAATCAGCCTGAATAATTATGTAATAATATACAAAAACTGAAAACCGATACCAGTTAAAAGAACTGAGCAGTATAAACAAAAATACTATGGAAGTTGATGGGGACCAGAAATTCTTTGGTTTACCACATTCTTCAAAAGAGCTTCTTTTGTGTTCAGCAGAAAAAAGAAATTCATACAGGTTTAGAACAGCTTGAGGATGAGTAAATAACAGATTTTTCATTTGGGTGAACTACCCCTTTCTTCAGAAATCAATCTAACATGCTGATTTGGTGCTCAAGAAACATTTCTTATCATCAACGTTGAAAACGGTAGTGCTGCTTAATACTTTTTGTGAAAACTGCATTACATTTTTTAAAACATTAATTTACACGTTTATTCAGCAAGGATGCATTAAATTGATTGAAAGTGACAGTAAAGACATTTTTAATCCTGAAAAGTGGTTGTATAGGACCATGGATTTGAGTGTTGTGTGCTACCTGGTTATTAGTAAAAACCCTGAAGATATGAAGCTCAGAATCAGGAGCGAATCCCTGGCACTCTCTCATGCTGGCAATAACCCCAGCAACAAAGGTACCATGACCCAACCCTGAAGAAAAAATGTGAGACAGAAAGATAAAAGCATGATTAATGCTTGTAATCTGAACAATTCATCTGGGTTGATTCAGTCAACTTCACTCAGAGCGCAATAATGATTAATTAAAAGATGTTTAAACTTGTATCATGACATTGTTTCATGTCTAACCATCATCCAGTGTTTTCTCATTGGTCCAGTTGGTTCTTTCTTTAACATTCTTAAAGTGAGGGTGCTTCTCACTCAGCCCAGTGTCAAATACTGCTACCTTCACCCCAGAGCCTGCATATGAACACAAACAGGAACACAAGCTTCATCGCAAACCTGATCTCCAAAAGGAGTTGAACATTAATTACAACATCCCATTCTTTAACACATACCAGTGTGTCCCATCTGCCAGAGCACATCTGCTTGCAGTATCTGAGCGACATGTCTGGGGATGGCCCGTAGGAGACGGCGACTGGAGTGTCTTCCTGTAGCATGCCAGAATCCAGAGCCCAGAGACAGACTGGTTCTCCTGAGTGGCCTTGATGACTGCCACGACTGCCACTTCTGCACCCAGCGTGTGTCATTGCACGGGGACGCCCCATCACTGCCCGCTGAAAGAGAAAAGGAATGAGAAATTATTTACAATTATATTTCATCCCATTTGATAATTTTATTTGTGCCATGAATATACTGTGTTATAAACAGCATAAAAGAACCTCTACTGGCTGACATACTTCTGCCAACTCATGCCCTCATGTCACCAGGCCCTAAGGAGGAGGATTATTAAAAATGCTCACTTCAAATAATAATTTTTTTGAACCATCATGTAATTTATCACTCTTTCAAGCCATGTTCCCCATTTATATTCACTTTATAAGGGCACATTTATTTCTCATAACTCAAGAGCACTTTTCTCAGTAGAAACCATTGCCCCAGAACTTAAAATAAAAATAAACTCCATTATCATGAATATTTTAAGCCGTAAAATAAATCAAAGTTCAACAACAAGGATTTTAATAATTCAACTATGTACCTGTCCTGGTAATATAATATAAAGTAATGTAATATAATATAATATTGTAGTATAATAATATTGATTCTACAACTATAATATCTAATTTATAAACACTTTTGCTGGAAAAAGATGATATAGAATAACCCATTCTAACTGTTTCTAAGACTTGCTAGATAACTATAACGTGGCAACATATTTAAATCAACAACACTGGCCCAAAAGTAACAATAATGTAAAACTGATTTAAAAAAAAAAAAAGGCAGTAAATATTGACAAAACGTGCACAGTATCAGATTCTGTCCATTTGTCTAACACAAACCTAACCACACGGTATCAACATCTACACCTTCATTTGCATTTTTATTGGCTCTTTGAATAACTTCTGGCGAGATCAGAGACAGCCTAAGCTTTCAGGAATATTTACACGTTTTTTCAAACTGAGCAGAGCGATAACAGTGATTAAACATTTATACGTACACGTTTACATAGAAAAGCTGAAGAGTGAAAAGTTACACAAAAAAAAAAAAAACTCTCGTAAAGTGCAGGTGCAGCACTTGGAAAGGAATCGTAGGCGTTTAAGCGAGCAAACCACTTTGACCAGCTCTGACAAGTCTTCCTCTCTGGCTGATTACTGCTCATTAATTCACCCTAAAGCTATACAGACGAGACTAGTGCATATACTGTAATTGTAGAGCTGACCCCGACATCATTTAAATGATAATTACTTGCATATATGCTCTCAACTATTCGGTTCACCCCCTGCTCATGACTTTCCTCCCTGCAGTCACCCCAAAGAGAGCGGGGGAGGAACAAATTGCACGTAACCTGTGTACAGCACTGCAGGGTTCAAGTGTGATTTATAAATATAATGCTATGTAGGTCTGGGCGACAAAACGGTATTGATATTTAATCGACGGTACACCATCTTCGATATCAATAGAAAAAAATGTTTGATATAGCGCACGATATATGGGCACGTACTATGAGTGACGCAGACAACACAAACAAATGCTGAAATGAGTGCTGTGCCTGCGATGAAAATATTGTGAATAAAGAATGAATGAATATTAGTCGAATTTAAAATAAACATTTGCATTTGAATGTTATGAGTGCGTCAAGGGAGCGTCATCAGTGGCGCACGAGATGCAGTGATGTAAGTGACGTTATTGTATTTTAATGTTTTGTTAGTCTAGCCCAGTAGTCTCCAACCATTTTTACACCACGGACTGGTTACGTTTGGAAAATATTCTCGCAGACCGGCATATATATATATATAGCTATTATATAGTATTATAATAGCATTATATAGTGGTTCAACACATTATATTGTGGTTTGAGTCACAGATCGGACAATTTTTTCGGATAAGCAAGAAAAAAAAAACATTTTTTAAGCACAGAGAATGACAATGCCGTGAAGGGTTTTTGACATAGGCTCATTTTATGTGTATGTATATGCAACTTGGTATTTCCACGCTGTCTGAAACACGTCTCTTGCACGGGCTTTGATTTTGTGCGAGAACAGCGAGTAATGAATTTCATTTCTTCTAGTGGTTTAAAATTGCTTGTACGTGTAAATTGGCAAATTAATCTGCGAATCACGTGCATGCCGAACGGTAGGGTCTCATTTGTACATATTACGGATCAACTGCGATCCGTTTAACTCCTAATATGCGACAGATCAGAGCAATCTTTCATTTACTTATCTAACATGAAATTGTCAAATGACTGCTCCATATCAATCGCATACAAAGAAAATACAGAATAATTAGAACAATCATTAACATAAATAAATAAGTGTCATCAACACATTTTTCCCCATAATGTTCTTGCGACCCGGTAGCAATTCTTCCACGGCCCGGTAGTGGGTCATGACCCGGTGGTTGGGGACCTCTGGTCTAGCCCACGAGACACGCCGCTGCTGCGTTATTCATTCAAAATATTAGAGAAATATAGAAACTCAATGTGGAGAAGATCTTGAATGGGTTAAAACTGAAACCAAGCCATTCACACAAAACGCATATTCAGCGCATTTTTTTTAGACTGACAAATATGACTACTGCACTCGCATCTCACAGAAGAGATATATAGAAAGCCATGCAAAGTTAAAACAGTTTAAACTTTTAGAAAACACGTCACAAATTTGTGGAGGTTTATTCCTTTTCACTGCAACTCATATGTTTTTAAATGCAGTCTGTGTGATTGGTGCTTCGGCTCTTTGGATTAAGCAATGCATAAATACATGATGCTGTTTTGTTCATAATTATGCAATTTACGAAATCATTCACTGCATTATTTTGCTCATTGCGCCCTCCTGTAGCCTCGGGAGACAATTAGACCTATACAATAAAGACCTATTTAATCTGCATATAAAACATTAGAAATTAGATATCTGTTTAATTTTTATTGTGTTTGATTGTTCAAACAAAAAATATTTGTTCGTCTCAAATTGTGTTAATTATAAATACAGTGGTTAAATGTAAACATTTTTTTCTATTGCTTTCTGTTTTAAAAAAGGTTATAAAAAACGTCAATAATTATCGATACCGAATGAAATGAAACATTATATAGTTGATCATTTTTTTTTAGCCCCGGTAGCAATTCTTCCACGGCCCGGTAGTGGGTCACGACCCGGTGGTTGGGGACCTCTGGTCTAGCCCACGAGACACGCCGCTGCTGCGTTATTCTTTCAAAATATTAGAGAAATATAGAAACTCAATGCGGAGAAGATCTTGAATGGGTTAAAACTGAAACCAAGCCATTCACACAGAACGCATATTCAGCGCATTTTTTTTAGACTGACAAATATGACTACTGCACTCGCATCTCACAGAAGAGATGTATAGAAAGCCATGCAAAGTTAAAACAGTTTAAACTTTTAGAAAACACGTCACAAATTTGTGGAGGTTTATTCCTTTTCACTGCAACTCATATGTTTTTAAATGCAGTCTGTGTGATTGGTGCTTCGGCTCTTTGGATTAAGCAATGCATAAATACATGATGCTGTTTTGTTCATAATTATGCAATTTACGAAATCATTCACTGCATTATTTTGCTCATTGCGCCCTCCTGTAGCCTCGGGAGACAATTAGACCTATACAATAAAGACCTATTTAATCTGCATATAAAACATTAGAAATTAGATATCCGTTTAATTTTTATTGTGTTTGATTGTTCAAACAAAAAATATTTGTTCGTCTCAAATTGTGTTAATTATAAATACAGTGGTTAAATGTAAACATTTTTTTCTATTGCTTTCTGTTTTAAAAAAGGTTATAAAAAACGTCAATAATTATCGATACCGAATGAAATGAAACATTATATAGTTGATCATTTTTTTTTAGCTTGGGGACAGCAGAGAGAAACAAATGCTAATAATAAAAAATACAATTAAAGTCGGTATGAAAAATTAATCTAGGCCTATTTTCTAAAATGCATGTGAACAATTCATCCATGCACATTTAATTTTTTTTAAATGACCGCAATTGTCAATCAAAAGGTCATATCAAAAACACTTCCTACATCTATTGTTGTTGACGTTTAAAGCTGCATGTCTAATCTATTAAACACATTAATCTATAATTTGGTAGAAGCTAATTCATGTAGGCAGATGTCAACATGAATGGGACCCATGCAATCATCCTCGAACCATTAACAAAATGTTCACTTGCAACAGTGTGTTATGTGCGAAAACTAAACTAAAATAAAATTTGTATTATGAACCACATACTTAAATGTACAACATAAAATATGTCCTGAAGGAAAACCAGAATGAAGATTGAAATACATGCAGTCAGATTAGCAGACAATGCGCTTTGTTCAAAATTTAATTTACAAGAAACGTCATACTGAATTAAATTATTGGCACATAAAATCTCCTTGCCAATCCCACAATTCATAGCTGAGGGTGAGGGAAGTGGGAATTAATTAAACATTAGAAGATGGCACAAAGGTTGCATTCATAGAGCAGCAATCAGGCCACTATAAATAACACATTATGTTCTGGTCTTGTATACTCGCATCCACACCACACCCAAAATAGTGAAATGTGTGCCCTGTGAAAACAACGCTGGACTCAGATTAAGTCTTAGGAATGTATTGCCAACAGTCTGGGCCAACCGCCAGCAAACACACTCAAACACAGAGCATAGGGCACAATCCAGCCAATGAATGAACAGAGAGCTGCAGCACAGTGGAGTACATTACACCAGCACTGTTTGACCTGAAGAGCTCACGTTTTGTCCTGCCCTAAATTACAACAATGCAGAGAAGCCTGAATAACACATGGCTTGAGTTTTCATTTCTTTCTGCGTTTTCTCTCCATTGTGTGTCTGTGGTCCAGTGGAGGTGATCAGTGTGGCAGCCTGAGGAGGAGGAGGGGGACCATTTTTTACAAAAAGAGTAAAACAGTCTACTGTAGATCAGGAGGGGTGTTCATCTGGTGATGGGCTTCCTCACAATGACCAATGGGTTTTTTATGCTTTCTGCAGACAGATAAGAGACAACACAATAGTTATATTTAGCTAGTTGCTTAAAAAAAACATCAAATGACACTTTTACTCAGCATGGATGTTTTAAAATGTATCAAAAGTAACAGTAAAGACATCATGTTTTTTTTTACTTTTTACTCAAAGAATCATTAATTTCTCAGTTTCACAAAAATATTAAGCAGAACAAATGTTTTCAACATTGATACAAATAAGATATGTGCAGCAAATCA